GGGGTTAGCTGCTAGCGCTGATGGCTAATCTGCTACCTGTTAAAGGAGTCGATCACCCATTTAATCTATACATTTGAAGTGGTTTGTAGTAGGAATGAATGCCTTGTAAGTTCTCTGAGGGAAAAAAGCTCAGATGTGCCCATTTCACAAGCTAACAGAATGCCAGATCAGAGGCGAGCTTCAGACGGCAGGATTTGGAGTCTTATTTCCTGATATTTGGACATCTTCCCTCTGATTGGCGAACAGCAACACAACTCTACCACTGACTCAGTTTGATCTGCATTGTTGATGTTTTATCTCCACAAATAACTCAAGCCTGGAGGAGTTCTGCTGTGCAGTGGAGTAGCTAATGCTAATGGTTAGCTTCTACTAGCTCAGATGTTCTTGGCTGTTTCCTGGACGCTAAACCAACGTCAGCCTTCCCCGTCGTGAGTCCAGATGGGTGAGTCCATGAATGTTAAGTGACAGTGTGACGTAGATCTGTCAGGCCTTTCTAATCCTAGAGTTTCACCGTCTATTTTCTATCAGAAGCTAATGCAGGAGATAGGTGTAGGAGACTATTTTCATGTTCAGCCTGCATGAAACACTCAGTGGCACGTTGGAATCAGAAATAATCATGAAAACATGTTTTTCAGTGTTCCACACCTTACCACTTTAAACAACTCTCGAGATTTTTGACGGCAGTTGTCAAATTATAATTGTCGGTGGTGCAGTGTTGGCCCCCAGAAGACATGGCATCAACACGCTCACTGATGGTAAACAGTCGTTACGTTCCTCCTTCCTTTGGTTTGAGAGAAAACCTGAATCCCAGCAGCCAGCCGGATATGAAATATGTTTCAGCGTAACCTTCCTTCCAAATTGACTGAAACTTTAGACTCTTTTGGGACTTTCTCAAGGTAAAATTCTTGCTATATTCTTACATACTGCACCTTTAATCAAAAGGAAACGCCCATATTATTCATTATTTCAAGCTTCAATTACATCTAAATGGATGAGTTACAAAAGTTCACCCCCTCGGAGTTGTCATGATGATAAACTAGACAGATTAAACCTAAAACGGTGTTTTGAACCAAGCTGTAAACGTCTTTATTTCTGCTGTGAATTTGGCCTTTTTAACATGGGAGTCAATGGGACCTTGCTCCTTTCTGGATCCAACCCCTAGTGGACGAGGGGGGAACTGCAGTTTCTGTCACTTCCATGCCGGTGTCGGTACAGGATCTGCTCGGGTGCAAGATCGGCTCGGGGTCCTTCACTGCCGATGACGTCAAAGTAGTTGATTGGCTGAACATGAACCTTACGGAAATTACGTAATCACGTTACGTTGGTCTAGGCAAATTTTTCTGTTGCAAAGATGGACAACTTTTACAAAGAAATCCATCATTACCTCTTTGAAAATACACTTTTAGCATAGAGCTGCATGTATATTAGGGCTGAATGATTAACTGCATGTGCAATTAAATTGCGATGTGACAAAAGGAAATTTTCTAATCGCAAAGGCTGCAATTTGGCAGCGAGTGGTTAGCGCAATGCTAATATACATAGAAAAACCCATAGAAATGCTAATGCTAATATCACCGATTACATTCTTACAAATTATGAATTAGAAACGTGCCAAATGATTACATTTGGAGTCTAATAGAAAGTAAAACTACCATCAATCAAATAAGTACAGACAGGTATTTTAGTAAAGCCAGAAAACTTTTAACTCCAGAGTTTTGGCTAGCAGCTATGAGCGTAACTGAACTACGCATGGACAAGACGTCAAAAACTAAACACAAAATACTTCGATAAACGGGACACACTTCTTTCCTGCAAATGCAATTTCACAGGTGTTGCTAATACCTATGATCCTTCAAGGGATGTGCTCAAAGAGGAGTTCAACATTATGAATAAAATAGTGTTTTATTTTACAAATACCATTATAAACACAAACTTACGTCTTAAGAAACATTATTTTAATAACGAAACTGCTAAATTCTTTCCAACAGTATAAAGATGTCTGGTGTATTTTGTCCGAGTGGGTTTGCCGTACTTTGACATCATCGGCAGTCGAAGGACCCCGAGCCGATCTTGCACCCGAGCAGATCCTGTACCGACACCGGCTTCACTTTTGACATCTGGAGTTTGTCCCTCATTTTAAACTCAATGATCTGAGTGATGGTGCTGTCGTAAAGAGAAGGCAAAGTAAAAGAGGATGGAGAAGGATGGAAAAAAGGGATGCGGAAAGATCAGGAAAAGCTGATTTTTTTTTCAGAAAGAGGAAATAGAGTAATACAATAATGACGGAGAAAGACGGAATAGCAGGTTTTTTAGAGTGTTTTCTCATCTTTTAATGCGAGGAAGACATGACAGAAAGGAAAAGAAAAGGACAGACAGAGACAATGAGCAAGCCAGAGATGAAGCTGCAGGAATACAGTACATCACATCATCTGGTGGAGATGTACTCTACAGAGCTGAGCTTGGAGCCATTAACTGCTAGGCCTGTCTCAGTTTCACCAGC